CCATGTTCATTTTCATGTGCAGTTATGCAATTTGGTGGTCAGCACGGTGGTGTTCCGACCTTTGGAATGGCTCTTCCAGGATATGTCCAACAAGAACATGGTACCGGTAATCCTGAGATGACATGGTATGTAGTCCTTTTTCGTTGTACCATATTTCTGAATGTTAGTTTTGAGTTTCATCAGCTATGAATCTTTTTGAAAAACTATATATTTCATGTGTTGTTAGTTTAATTGTATGCTATTGTGTGAGATAATTTTACATCTAATTAGTCTCTTACTGGCCCAAACAGAACCAGAACTGTTGCTTGCATTTATCTTCTATTTGTTTGATTTCCTAAGCTATCTTCTATAGGAAGTTCCTGATTACTGCTATTTTTTTGTTTATATTATTGGCAGGCTGTTTACTGGCCCGGGTGCATTAGGGGCTTCATATTGCCCACCTTATGCTGCCATTGATGGTTCTTACCAAGCACACAAACCAGGGTTACCTTCCACTGCGGGATCCTTCAGGTTTGTAAGAGAAATGTCTTTATATTCTGTGCATTTCCATATGCTCAAGTCGTGACTCTAGAGGAAGAATAGTGCGGGAATGTAGCTTTAACGAAAGCAACTGTATGTGTTAGATATGATGATATTTCTCTTATTCTTTACCCCTGCAGAATGCTTGTAACACGTCAGATTTGCATTTCTGAAGTGTTTTGCTTAGTAGCTTATCTATTATACCGTACACATGCAGCATTCATTAACCAGATTCACTTTCTTGGTTGGGCACTCGTGTAACCATGTTGATCTTCTCTCTGATTATGAGTGTATAGTGAAGCAATTAATTTGGGGTCACTTGCTCAATAACCATGTTTTTTGTTTTGGCAGCCAAGAGAACAGTTCGAATAACCCTAATGATGAAGACAAGCCCATAGAAAGACCTGGTAAGTTGCTTCCTTGCTATTCCGTGTCTATTCTGGGCTGAGACCAGTGCTTTGACATTAGATGTTAGTGGTATCTTGTTTATTAGGTAGAAGCATCTACTGTAGTTGGTTTTAGGAAGAAATAAGAAAGATTATATACTCTGATGTGATTGGTAACTAGTAGAAAGAAATGAAGATATTTGATATGGTTCCTCGAGTATTGTTTATTTTTGGGTAATAACTATTGCCAACCAAACATGGTCTTTATTATGAATTCAAAAGATGTTGTTATGTTTTGGGGAATTAGAAATCCGAATTATACATAAACCCAATAATTTTGTTATGTTTTGAAGTAAAGCCTACTTTCCTTTGATGTAGAGGTTACAAACAATGGGACTTCACAACGGTCTAACAGCAACACAAACAAGCAGCCTCGTAGGTGAGTTTTGAAGCCACTCATAACAGCTGTTGTTGCTCATACGATAAGTATGGTTAAAGTACATATATATTGGGATGGAATCAGAAACTAACCAGAAAATGGTGCAGATACTCGGAGATGAGCTTTAGCAAGTGAGTGGGGGTTGCAAAGAAGGCAAAGGAAGGTCCTCATGTTTGAATAAGTGGAGAGAGAAGGTGTGTGAGAGAGAGAAGCTACTTTTGCTCCATGCCCCTGGTATTACTCCAAGCTGCTCTGCTTTACGGAGCATTTTGGGCTGCTATGTTGCCGATTTTATTAGGTACGCAATTCTTAAGTCACCAACCAATTGAATAAGAATTTGAAGATGATATTTGAAAAATAAA